TTTCTGACCACGCATCCTGTCCCTTACAGCTCTGCTATCCTGTCTCCCCTGGGTAACTCAGACCACTGTGTTTTGGAGGTTAGGTTTCGGTCAGAACCCGCTGTTTCAGCAGAAACTCGCACAGGCTGCAAAATTTTTCATTACGGACATGCCGACTGGGAGGGGCTCATAGACTTCTTCTCTACCTTGCCTTGGAGAAATGTCTGTTTCACTGACGCAGATGCGTCGGCTGTCTGTTCTTCGATAACCGAAATTAACCACGTCGGAATGGAGGAATACATGCACCATTTACTTGATTTGTTTAATGGGCAGTTCAGAGTCTTAATCCATAAGCTTATTACATACTAGTAGACCCCGTTGCGCAATTTGTCTATAGGCAGTCTGGAGACGGTATCAAGACACGACCTATAGATGGTCTACAGACAGCCTTCTTTGTCTTGTCTAGCTTCCATACTATAATGTGAATTTTTTGTTCTCATATTCGTTTTCGCAATCAAAGACGTTGCTTTGTGTGGAATGGACTGGGATATGTCTCGGGGTCCCTCAGAATGTTTTATTTATTTTTTGTCGGTTAACAGAGCAAAGTTTTTTGTGTTTGAATCTTTAATATTATTACACTAGTTAATTATAAATGCCACGTACTTATTTTGTTCTCGTATAATAAAATATTATTGGCTTTCTGAGGATTTCTGAGCAATTTCCATGCTTTTTTTTCAAGCTGGCCTTGACCAGATAGAACACAATGGATTTAAGGAGCAATAATAGGATAAATTCTAGAAGTTCCACTGAGGTTAAAAAATGACCAGCCCCAAATATCGTTTGCGCCCCCCTAGACGAAATCCTGAATGCGCCCTTGTATGAAACCCGCGATTTGCATATCAGCATTTTAAATGTTAGCGTTTAATTATTTATTTCAACAAATGCTTGTGCTTTTCTTGTTTGTCAAACAAATGTTTTGAATATCTTCATAATATTATTTAAAAGCAAATTGACGCCGTTAAAACAATTTCGAATTGTTGATATATCGAGGAAGGCAGGAAGTGCAAGAATAACTAAGTTCAAGTTTGCACGAGACTTTCATTTCGTAACGCATTCAATAATACATAATTCATTAATCACATATACTATAAATAATGCTCGCGTCCGATATAGTTCCTTTGAACTATGTAACCCATATTGATAGCACACTATGTAATCACTATCAGTACAGACACAATATTCCAAAAAATGATTCAAAATTATTATTGTAATGAATCGATAGCGTTTGGATGTTCTTGTGTCAAAATTTATGAGATACAAAGCATACAAACAAGATAATTTCTAGACGGTTTGTGTAAACATAATGTGTTAGTTATCTACATTGCAGCCTAATTTTCAGCGCGCGCTATATAGCACTACCAGGATCAAAACAACTAAATTTTGGACTTGTTAATTATATAACGATGTATAATGGTTTTTTGTACACTTTTTGAGGATAAAGTTCATGTACAATCTACTTTGTTGTTTATCTCACTGTTCAATAGACAGAAATAATTGTAACTGATCAAAGTATTTAGTATTGTGCGTAAGGAACTGTCCAAAAACATTTCGGTTTGGAGTTTTTGATGTAATAAGTTAGTAATTTCGGAAACAATCAAATTCAGTCTATTTATACACATACAAATGCCCAAACTGTCATCATTACGTCTGAGTCGTAATGTGCACTTACAAATTGAAACCCAAGGAAAGTTGTGTCCGCGAAATTATTCAGGGTGCTAAAAAAGTATGGATATATGAAAATATCTCGAAAAATAGATTTCCTAGAGGAAAGTGTTGTGAATCAAAGTTGTAAGGTTTGAAAACGCTGATCTAACGGTGATCTTGTGGATCATCACCTTCAAGGTTATTTGAAGGTCCAGATAACTTTCGTAAATGAAACACCTACTTTTGACTGAAACCCCTATTTTTGACATCGGAAATGTAAAAAGCGGGATAATTGATGTTGAAGTAAATACTTGCCCATGACCTTGACCGTGGTCTTCATGGGTATTTTGAGGATGTCCAGAAAGTAGGGACAACATATCTCGAAAAACACGATCCATAAAGAAAAATGTTGTATAACAAAGTTATGGTTTCAAAAGATGCATCCAACGGTGACCTTGAATGTGACCTTTACTATGACCTTCAGGCTCATTTGAAGGTCTGGACAGTTTTCTTAAATGATAACATCTAGTTTTGACGAAGGAAATAAAACGGTATTTTTCCAGATAAGGTAATTATTGAAAAACGTCAGGATCAGGTTACACTAACTTCAAAGAAGGAGCTCAATGATGACCTTGGATTTCACCTTTAGCATCACTTTCCAATTTGTTTGAAGTCCAACTTTCGTTTTTTAAACAGCAAGTCCCTTTTCTGAAATCGACAATGAAAAAAGCGGAAAACTCTACTGATAAGCTAGGGAAAATCCTTTGACGTTAAGAAAGGTTACAAAACTTGATGAAAAAATTCTTCTTCACTAACTTTCAGCCTGGATTTCAATTGTCGCTTTGGAGTAAACCTTGAACTTCACCTTCAAAGTAATTTCAATGCAACCTTTTTGACAGCGGCAATTAAAAATTCCACGAATATGGCCTTGAAGGTAAGGTTTAAGCTCAAACTCAAGTTCAATATCCCATGCTTGTTAATAAAAGTTGCTAAAGGACCTACCTTGATTTTTCTCATCAATCATCATGCTGATCTTTTAGGAACTTTTGCTAGCTGCACATATTTGATCTTCATTTCACCCTTAGAGGTAACCTAGTTCCTTAATTTTAGTACGTAGCCAGACGTAGAATTTTCGGTTATTCTGGTTGTTGGTATCAAATAAGGGGCTCGCCATTCAAAAACCTAAGATTACCTCGAACAACCTCAAAGATGAGGCTCGAGGTTAAATTCCAGGTCACCTTGTTCAAAATTAGTGAGGATCTTTTTCAAGAATACCTTTCCCGTAAGAACAGGGCCGATCCGGCAATTTCTTTACACCCGGTATGTTAATAGCTGCGGCAGGCTAAGATATAGCTTGAAACATTTTTAAAATACGGCATGTATGTGTAGGCGTTAGTTCAACGTTTTTTCTGTGGTGCACTTCCAACCAACAAGTCTAAAACTTCAAAAAAGGGCTGCATCGAAACTCAGAGGCTATTTCATTATTGATCACATCAAATAAAACGAATCCTAGTAGCATTTGAACATGCTCTCTATCCAACCAGTACTATCTCTACACACAGATCAATTATCTTTGAGGCAAAAGGCAATTGTATATTGTAATGGCGGAGCGCATTACGAAAGTGTAAACAAACTACATCCGTGTGAGCTTTTGATTAAAAATACTGGTGTTGCTACATAGATAATACATCCAGGGTTGCAGTCAGCTTATTTCTTGTCAAGGGCTTATGAGATATTTTGCTTTGGTCCAAATAGTTGTTCCTCGCCTCTTTTTTTATACTCGAACCACCACGAATGCCGAAGGTACCGTGGAGCTATAGGAGATACAGGGGAAACGGGAGACGTGTTTGTAACATGTATATATTCTGGCCCCGCCTTAGAGATCCGCCGGGTGGTACCTCCGCGATCGACAGTATAACACCTACTACCACCTACCGACAATCACAATATATACTCGTATAGCCGAGAGAAAAATTTGCTTGGGACGGGATTTGAAAAAGGTTATTTGATACATTTTTTTTATCATTGCCACTATTGTAACATCACATTGCAATACTGGCAAGCAACTCTACAATGTTATTTCAGGTAAGATGTATCCATAACAGTAATTCCATTTGCTTTTACCATTCGGAAAATCTAACCACGTACCAAGTAAGAACATTGTACCGTATCTTACTATGATTATACAGTAAAAAGCAAATTTTGCTTACATTGTAATTACGTATTCCTTGCTTTTTCTGTGTTTTTTCTTCACATATGTGATATACTGTTTTGCGTAGCCTTTCCATTCCTACATACTGTATGCTACAATAAATGTTGAAAACTTCAACTGACGTTACTAAAAATTTGAAGTGGCTCTCCTGAAAAGTTTACATTTATCACTTACAACTTAGATGCATGTATCGACATGTCTAATAGGTCCGTAGAATTACCAGGGCTGGAAGCGTATAAATGCACTAACCTCCAAAAATTGTGGTATATCCTCCCCAATTTTTAACTCCTTTTTTTCAAAATGATCAGGAGGCTTTGGAACCCCAAAAACCGAGGTTTGACTCATTTTTTTTCTTGTCTTGCCTGTAGCCGTGTCGCAACTAGATCGATGTTAAGATTCCATCAAAATTCGATTAGCATTTTTCAGGTAGTAGTAGGGCCAAAGATTAGCGAACTGAAAGGTGTTGCAGAAAACCACAATTTTTTTGAAAAAATCAAACTAGGTATCTGATTTTTTTCGAATAAATCTAACTTTGAGATAACTTATTTTCATTATTTTTCTCTATGGTCAAACATATTTGTTATTTAGAATTATAGAAATCTCCTTTGGCGAGATATAATATTTTTTTTGTTGAAATGTGAAATTGATGCCGTATAGTGATGCAAAGTTTCGTTACTTTTTAGGACCTGTAAGGACTCGTTACTTTCGAACTTTGGACTCGTTAGTTTAGTTACTCTTTGAACATTTCGTTTAGAACCTACATTCTAAATATTATATCAAATTATTACTTTGGGATTGATCCAATTATTATTTTTTGTCTAATGCCTTGCCTATTAATTTTTTTTGATATTTGATACGTAGAAGGTACTTATATTTTAAACTCGTCGTTGTGTGACGTCTCGTTCGTTGGCTGTACGCTGTAAATAGTATTTAACAAGTGGCATAACCAGATGGGTACCGTGGAGGAACCACTCTCCTCACTCTTTACTTTAGTTGAGTAGCGTCCCCTGCCCTAACAGTCTGGTTACTCCGCTGTCCTACTTAACAGTCTGGTTACTCCACTGTAAATGGTGTTCAACAAAATACTTATAAGAATAAAACATACCTGAAACTAAGTTCCTTTTGCACCTAGGCATATTTTCGTCTTCCACCCGCCGTTTTGCCCTTTCTCCTTCCAATGAAAGAGTCGGATGTTTAGTTTTCAAATGCTTCCTTAAATTGCTAATGTTTCCATTTTTATGCGAATAAATATTTTTACAAAGATTAGACTTTGCATTAGCTTCCGATATATTGGTGAAATGCATCCAAATAACACTTCTTTTTTGAGTTTGCGATTCTCCTGAACCGGACGCGGATGATTCCATATTTTTGTACAAATAATAATTATATTATTGCTCGAGCTTGTACGGAAACGTCCAAACCAGTAACAACCCGCCAACCGCTATCTCTCAAAGTCAAATGAAAAGTGTACAGGTGTACACAAACATTGCCAACCTAAAGCTCCGCAGTCCGCAACTCGTTTGATAGAAGAGTATTTAAAGTTGCCTAAGCCTAACGATATTCGCATCATTTCATTTCCACCCAGTTTACATCCAAGAACCAAGTCACTTGCTGCTGGCGCTGGCAGTACTGGCTACATTAGATCCCAGTAACGTTTGTATCTAAAGTAATGTATAGTGTAGTAACTAACAGTAATTAAAAAGTATACATTGAAAAAGACCGTATCGCATTCAAAGTAACGAATTCAAATAAAAAGTAACGAGTCTTTTCAAAAAGTAGGACTCGTTACATTTAGTTACTCATTTGTAACGATTATTTTGTAAGCGTTACTTAATTATTTTACATCACTAATGCCGTAGTGAGAGAAAAAAAATCAAATATCTATTTGAAATGATCTGCTGAAGATCTGAAGCCTGTTTCAGTTGTCATTGATAGGCTTCAAAAACTAGTGCAACCCTTTCTGATGTCGTGCAAGAATTCAAAAATCTCGAATCAGCGTTTGAAAAGTCAGATTTTATTTTAAGTCAAATACAGATAGTTAGGCACCGATACGAACCATGTATCATAGCATATCTTCTTGTTCCAACAAAACCAGAACGCCTATTAATAGACGGCAAAAAAATACTTTGACAGACGCAAAAGAACTACTTCCCAGTGGGTTCTTCCCACTAGTAATTCAATTCCTGACAAAATTAGATCCGTTTACCGACATAATGTTTGATAAAGAAATTCTCAAAACTTTGAAAGCTTTAAATTGGTGGAAATCTCAAAAGAATGTCGATGCTATTTAAAAAGTACTGCCCACAATGAAACAACTGTTATCTGCTAAAGCTTCTTCAGCATCTGTCAAAAGAGTGCTTTCGACAATTCAAACTTCGAAATCGCTCGGGAACAAAAAAAAAACAACAGTTTTCCTGTAGAAGAAACAGTAGACATTTCAATAATACTAATACATTAATTTTACTTTTTAATGCTCTCAGATCCATTTTAGAATACTCTTCGATTATCTGGTACCCGGCCTATGATATACACTGTAAAAACATCGAGAGAATCCAACGTCGTTTTGTGAAATACTTATGGTTTAAAGATGATAGAGCGTACCCTGAAAGGGGTACTCGTATACGCAATGGCATTGTTTTAAGTAGAGTACGAGCCCCTTCCTGCTTCAGTTGGCCCACTTCAAGATTTGTACCAAAACATGCCTGTATAAACTAAACATGGCGACACTATTTACTTCTAAAACAATTTATTTTCTCAAAAACATTTTAGATACACTCTAGTCGTAAAAAATACATATTTGAAATCACTTAGACCTATAACTAATAGTATATCTGAACAAATAAACAATGTGCGAATAAATACGCGAAGTTGACAAAGCAACAATTCAAAAATTACCATTGGGTAACATCACCTTTACTTTTAATTACGGCTGAAATTCTTTTGGTATAGTGTTAACCAAGTTTTGGGAAAAATTGACTGTACGAGCAGGATGTTGTCGTAGAACCTTTTTCATCTCGTGCCACAAAGTTTCAATAGGTGACAGATCTGGACTGCTAGAAATCCATTTCAAAAGTGGTACATTATTTTCTTCCATCCATTTTATAGCCTTTTTTGAGGTATGGCACGCTGCACCATCTTGCTGAAACACAAAATCTTGGCCGGATGTCAAACATTCTTCCATCACTGGTAAAAGCGATTCTTCTAAAATTGCCAAATATTTGTTTGCATCCACATTTCCATCAATGAAGTTTTCCTACTCCTTTTGATGACATACTGCCCCAGACCATAATGGATGCTGGAAATTTCACTTTTCTCTTCAGACAGTCAATATGGACCGCTTCATTTTTTTGCGAATAGCTCTACTGCGACTGTCACCAACACAAACTTCGAATCGGGCCTCATCACTCCATTGTATTGCACACCATTGTTGAGATGTCCATTGTCTATGTTCTTTAGTCCAACTAAGCCGATTTTTCTTTTGCAGTGGAGTTAATAGTGGCTTTTCTTTGGCCTATAAACAAGTTATGCAACTTTAGGGTTTTTACTTCATTTTTTTATAAGAAAACTTACCTAAAGTGCTAAATCCCAGTCTGTGGGCCTCTCTATGAGTTGTGGACCTCGAAATTCTCCTTCCAACAGCGTCACTCCACAGAGCACTTAATTGTAAATAATTGGCACGCCTGTTTTTCACGATTATTCTTTTAAATGATCTTCGGTCGGCATTTTTGATATTACTTTTTTCACATATCGTGGCTTAATATTAACTGAACCAGTTACGTTATATCTTCTAACAATATTTCTCACACTGTACCGCGATAAGTCTAACAAAGTTACAATTCCTGAGTTTGATTTCCCAGAATTAAAAAATTTAATTATCAGAAACCGAATTTTCTCACTAATAACCTTTCCCCTACCCATTTTGAAAACCTTAACTACCCAAAACTATTTTAAACGTATTCTGACAGTTGTGATTAATAAAAGCAATTGTCATGGCTTTTATTTTTCACAGCCACCTATGCGTTATAGACTTATTTTGCATTGAAATGAAAATAGGTTGATATGCTGTAATTGCAACATGTGTTATTTTTATGCTGCAAATTTGATTAGGGAGTGATAAAGTTGGTATTTTCTACTATATATTATCAAAATATTCATTGTTAATATTTTAAACCTATAACACCCTGCTACATTTTTATTATTTGTGTTTGATAAGAAAAAAAGAAAAGATTTCCATAGTTGGGCCAACTGAAATGGGAAGGGGCTCATAATTTACCTAATGTAGTCAAACGTATGAATCTGTTAGCTGCCAAATTTTTACGTAATTTCTTGAATGGAACAGTTGCTCACCCGTTTCTTCTAGACAGGATCTCTCTACGCGTTCCCGATGTGCGTACTAGTCATGGTGGTAACAATTCATTTCATTTACCTGTTCCGCGGACAAATTTATTATTTTCGCCTCTTTATGTTATCTGTAATGTCTGTGACAGTGTAAGTGAACTTGATATTTTTAGTTGCTGCAAAATCGATCGCAAGAGGTGCTTTTTAACAATTGGATAATTTATATTTATCTTTTTTATCAAATACTGTTTAGAGTTTTGTTTTTGTATCATTTTTTGTTTTTTCCCTGTCTGTTAATTGGATCACTCTGTTCAGGCAGTGTATGGATTATTGTAAATTAAAAAATAAATAAATAAGTATTGGCTTGCTTATCACATATTTTGTGTTTATGTTTTTTGTGGGTATCGTTTCTGTTCACTGTACATATATATTATAATACCATTTATGTATAAGTTAATAATTCTTATTTGTTATCATTTATTGATATAGGTAATATTATAAACTGTAAACTGTTTTTGCTGTTGTAAAGTGTGTTTTCTTAAGTTTAATTCATGAACATTTACGTCGGACTGATGACGACAAGTTATGTTTTTAAACTTACATAATGTATGTAAACTCTTGGTTTTAAATGCACCATCTTCCTTTTTTCAATTTGAAATTTGAATTTGAGTTATTACAGTTACTTTCTTCGGCGACTTGTTTTACGGCATTTTTCTTTTTGATATAAATCACTATTAAAATTGAATAAAATCGTTAGATTTAAATCCTGGAACAGACAGATAGACCGACGGAAGTAAGTGACGTGGGAAGTAATCAGGAATCAGTGTTCTTAAACTTGGAATAATAGATGACGACATTCCTGCAACGATCCTGTGCATAAGTGAGGCACACCAAAAATAACAATATTTGTCAAGAGTACATTACGGTTTACGACCAGTAGCGATGATGTACGCTGATACTTTTTACCAATTTTTAGCACTCTATTCTATACAGATTTATTGTAAACAAAAAACATCTGTAGAAATACTTTAGTGCCTGATTTAAGTGAAGCAGTAAAACTGAAACGATTTACCGCTTCATCCAATTACACTCGCTCACTATAGAAAATGAAGTCCTTTCTTTGGACGTTTCATAAGCGTGCCAGATTTATTTAGGAGATAACGTAATATTTCAACTCCTTTATAGAAAGTGAAAATTGATAAAGCATTCGTAACAGGGCCCAACACACTCAACGCACAGTGCTCTAGCACTTTGAGATTGTTTAAAAATCATGGGCTGGATGAAATTTGGTATGGTTGTAGACAAAAAAGTTAAAAATGATCACCATACCAAATACAAGACAGGTGAGACAGAGGAAGAAACCGGTCACTGAGTCGCGCTGCTCAGACTAATGACTTTTAGAAAATTCTAGTATTTTTGTCTATAAATCTAAAATCTCCAGTAATTTAGACTGACGTTCTATGGACCCCTCGTTTTATAGAAAATGCAACAATCAAATTAAATGTCTTCATTATACAGGGCGGCGCATCGAAAACGGAACAGACGCATTTACTAGCAGCTCAGTTTTTTTTGGAAAAACGCTCAGACCCGTCGATTTTGTTTTCGAGGGGGACACAAGTTTGTCAAAAAATCAGGTTAGCACGTGCAGCCCCCTGAGCGGGGGTGTCACCACCCCCAAAATCTTAAATGGAAAGGGGCGTCGAGAGATACCTTATTTTAAAGGTATTTCAATTCCCTTTATAATGATATAAAATTAATGGACTCTAGTTAAGTAGTTTTGAAGAGATTTATTGATTTAAAGCTTAAATAAAACTAATACATCATCATTAGTGGAGATCAATACGTTTGGCAGCAAAGTAATTTAAACATCAAGAATTAACTGACCCGTTAGGCAAGTAAATGTTGAAAATGGCCACCATGACTCTCCATGCAATAATAAAGATTTTGCTCAAAACGTTGCCGCACATTATGCAATATTTGACGAGTAATTTGAAGGCACTCATTCACAATTCTTTGTCGCAGGTCTTCTAATGATGTTGGCTGAGTAGCATAGATTTTGCTTTTTAAATGACCCCACATAAAAAAATCCAAAGGTGATAAATGTGGCTATCTTGGGGGCCATTCAATCGCACCTACTCCTCTGATCCATCGATCTGGAAACGTCTGATCTAGATCTGGCGGGGCACCATTCTGTTGGAACATCAACCTATTCGCAATGTACCGCCGATCATTCTGATTTTCAATTATGGCTGTTAATGCAGGATCTATGGCGTCTTCCAGTAATTCCAAATACATTTCACCGGTCAAACTTCCAGGTAAAAAAAAGGACCAACTAAATGATCGCCAAAAATACCAGCCCAAACATTTAATTTTTGTGGCTGCTGTGTATGAACATCATGATAAATTCTGTAATTAGAATAGGATCAATATCGGCAGTATCGGCAGTTATGACGATTTACGACGTCATTTAAGAAAAAGGAACATTCGTCGGAAAAGCAAGTGTTGAATAGAAAATGTTCATCGTTTATAATTCGTTCACTCATATCTTCACAAAATTGTAATCGCCGATCAAAATCGTCTTCATTAAGTTCTTGTACCAGGTGAATTTTATACGGATGAAAACTATGGGCCTTCAGAATCCGTTGGACAGTACGTCGACTAACACCACACACAGTCTTCAATTTGCGGGTACTTAACGTAGGATCTACTTAAACTTGCTCTAAAACCCCCACTTCTATTGCTTCGTTCCTTATGGGATTTTCAATGTTGGGCTTTTTATTGGCGACTGACCCAGTTTCCCGAAATTTCGCTACAAGTTCTAGAACATATTTTCGATGCACGTTCTATTAGTGCACTGATTATTTCCGAAAAATATTTTGATAATTTCAACTCTTTCTGCTGTGGAATATACCATGGATAATTTATGTAATAAAGCGTTACACGTTATTTGAGCAACAAATTTTGGTCAAATCAATCGCAAACTATGTACTAAACTCCTATTTAAAATAAGTACGAGATATTTCGTTATCTTTCTTCAAGAAATAACTTTTGTGTCACAAAAAAACGCTCCAATAGCTATTTTCAATAACAAAATGATAAACAAACCATGGGCGTAGTGAAGAAAAGCATTTACTTATTAAATAAATTCTTTTAGTCAAAATTCTTCTGAAAGTAGAATAAACTAATCTGATGTACCTATTAAAGTCTACTTTAAGCTTTAAATCAATAAATCTTCAAAACTACTGAACTGAATATTTTACATCATTGTAAAGGGAATTGAAAGACCCTTAAAATAAGGTATCACACGACCCCCCTTTCCATTTCAAATTTTAGGGTTGGTGTCACCCCCTCCTAGGGGGCTGCACGTGTTAACCTGATTTTTTGCCAAACTTGTGTCCCCCTCGAAAACAAAATCGACAGGTCTGAGCGTTTTTCCAAAAAAAACGGAGCTGCCAGTAAATGCGTCTGTTTCGTTTTCGATGCGCCACCCTGTATAGAGCAATTCAGTACTGTTACTGATCCTGAAGTGGGGGGTTAGTTGTCCTTGCGCTCGGACATATACAGTGTTCCAATGAAAATGCAAAGTAGTTTTATAGAAAAACTGTAAAAGATATTCGAAAACGATTTTCGCAGCCACATTGATATCTTATAGGTGTATATTTCTAAATTATTTCGGAACACTAATTCGTGTCACAACAAACGTATATATGTTACTGTATAACTAAACAGTATACACTAACTGATTGATGCTTATACAAGTTTAAAATGTTAATACAGTCGTACTCATTTCTCTTAGCCTTCAAGCTAGGAAGCTGATGGATTCAGTTTCTTAGAAGAACAGGTTGTTGCATTTTCTGTAAATCTGGTCTCTCTTTAGCTACATAGTGACTGGGCAGATCTATAAAACGGTCTCAGCTTGAGTAACTGGAGATTTTAACTTTAATGATAAAAATGGTCGATTTTTTTCTACACTACAAATTGCTACTCAGCATGTGACCGGTTGCTTAGCTAAGAAGCTAATTCTCCAAGAAGCTAGGACATATACATACCACTTTGAGAATTTGGATAAGGCGATAAATACCTTAAGGTGCTGACAAAATATTATTTTTTCGTATACCTTCGACCCTCAAGGTCATAAATCTTGAAGGTACAGCATCCGGCATGGATATCTGGAATTTAATTCATCTCTGAGTGCAAATGTCAATTATCCTCATGGTACTGGGAATCCCACCTATGTTTTGAATATAACCTTGAAAATAGATAAATGGTCAAGACATAAATCACCTTATCCGTGGTATTTATATTTTATTCATTAAAATAATTACAGTAATTTTGTTGATAATCTAAACTAAATCGCTGCAATCCACCTTATAAATTCCAACAATAAGGGTATGGTGTTATTTTGTTACAAAGAACACCATACATGTAGCAAGGGATGTGGCAGTTGAAGAAAAAGTGTCACGTCAAGTGGTGCGGTTAACAGGCTGAATATCCGACACTTTTGTTAGGGGCTGTTGAAAATCCCTTCAACGGAAACACAAATCATATTAAGGGTTTGTAAACATTTTTGGGAGAGCTCTCTAACCTTACAACCAAATAAAGGAATACTATTCATATTGGAAGTGGTGTTTTTATAATTGCAATCAACCATTTGGAAAGATGATTGTATTTTGTAATAATATCTTGGAAAATCAATTGGAGTTTAAAGGAAACTGATTCAGGTTCATCTCATTCAAAAACTAGTTGAAATATTCAAACCAAACGCCATTGTTTTTTGCTATTTTTCTGCTTTATCACTTTTGCTATATCCTTCTGTTTCCTTATTTCATCTTTTGCTTGACTGATAGTTTCTATTAATTATATTCACAGTTAAATTAGATCAGTTCATTGCTCTTGAGTCGTAAAGTACCACAGGTCGAACTGCTCTCCCGTTTTGTTATCCTTCGTCTAGGTATCGCAACTTCTTCAAACTCGGGCATGTTTTCTTGTAGATCCGTTCCAGATGTTTTGTTGAAAGCAGTAAGAAGAAAGGAAATGGATTTTATATAGCGATACGAAGTAATTGTCAAAATATCATTATTTTACCTTTTCTGTAATCAAACTAAGGGAAATGTAGAATCACAACTTCAGAAATTATTATCGAAACATCTGTATTAATGCTGAAAATGCAAAATCTTTGACGCACCCTTTTTATATACTACTCACACTAAAAAATTTCAATTTAGGAGCTTTAGGAACACTGATATGCGGTTAATGCGATGAGATTAAGATCGGTATATTGGCAACAAAGTTATTAGTCAAACGTTTTCAAATTTGGCTGGTACGTTTGTTCAGTTCCTGATAATTTTTGTGCATTAAAACATTTTTTGGAGCTGTTGAAATTTAGGAGTGTTCTACCTTCCCCGACTTTCTCTTCATTCTAAGGCATAAGCAAAAAACATTATACGGGAGGCTCAGCATTTTTAAATTTCACAAATTTTTGAACGCTTTTGAAGTCTCACTAAGAAAATAAACTTACTGTCTTTCAGGTGCGCAATTAATGTGTAAAGGTACACGTGCTTTGTACATATCTAATTTAAAAATGTATCATATCATAAAAAGTACATAGAGAATCCAAGTTACTTTATTTTTTTTTAATTCAGTTGTATCATAAACATATATTAATAACTACAAACATGAACCTAAAAAGCCACCATCTAAACTAATTTGTAGCTTCGGCCATCCTGTGATTTGGGTTTTCTAATACCCGTTTCAATCAGTTGCAGACGATCTTATACGAAGAATACAGTTGATTAGATAGAGTGTTACAAGAATATGACAAAAAAACAGTTGTTTTGTTAGTGTGCATGCGTCTGATCAAGAATTATATTGCACAGTTATAATGAAAGCCCGATACAAGTAGTAGTTTCCAGTATCTTCAGTGACAAGTAAAAACTGAAGAAGGCACATCTCAGTAGTATCGGTGAGTTTATGCTATCTTCCTGATGATACACAAACCTTGAACAAAGTTAAACCAGCATTCAAAACGCGCTAGCTGTTTAACAACGTGCAACCGTTTGAACAGCTAGACAGCTACAGCAGCTAACTTCGTTATGCATTAGCTGATTTGGTGAGGCGGTGTTACTCCAAAGGATAACCGCCCCTCTTCCCCCGGTCTCTTGTAAACCCCGTTCCGCTATCTTTTCGAAACGCTAACAAATTGGCATCCAGTTCCTGTGTAATTAAGTGATGGAAATCAAAGTTCTGCCTTCTGTGATGTCGAGCTATTTGTTTAAGTTACAACCGATTCGTTCATCTGCTTTGTTTATGCCGCAGCAAGACAAGAAGGCAGGGGCGTGGGTTTGACCGTTACGTTAAAATTCGCCTGGATTTAGACGCTGACATTATCATTATCATAGGTATATGGCAACAGAGACTCTAATGAAAATATTCGACCTGTAACTTACTCCCAACTCCCAAACTTGCCAAATGAGAAAGCATAGTATATGATAAAAGTATAGGTTATTATTTTCAAACGATACTTAACGCCATCTGTCACGATACGAAATTTTGTGCTAAATTTAGTTCGATAAGTTTCTTACAAAATCAAAGTGTCAGACAGCATTTAGTACATAATTTTGTATGAACAAATTTAGAGAACCTGTTCTAAACAATAACATACTAAAAGTGTGCAGACAACTACTGCGCATTTGGAACAGTACAATGGCTGATAGAAGCGCTACGTGACAAGGAATTACATGTTTTGTGTTAACTTCTTGATGTGTTGTGATGATTAGATGAGATGATGATTGGTTGGCAAAAACACACCTAATCAGTTGTGTTAATCACTTTCGCAAAACTGCTCTGCTTATGTTGTTCTACTTATAGATTGAAAACAAACTTAAAAGATGTTGTGATAAAAAGAGCAGTGTAGCATACTACTATACGAGTATGAGAAATATGATTGTTTATTTGCTGTAAAAAGCAAGGTCTATAAAAACAGAAAAGCCAAATAAGCTGCGTTGGATAAAATGAGACCGACTTTAGAACCAACTAGAGTCAGTAAATCCTCCACTAGAAGTTCTTTATTTTAGCATATGGAGCACAACCATGCCCTGGTCCCTCTTCTTGATCCATTTTCGGTACCAAATTCTTTAATGGGATCGCTCCAACTTTCTATTCATTTAAATTAATAAAGGAATAAAGTAGCAAGCCGCAAAGTAAAGTGTGGTTAGAATGACCTTTACGTGATCAATGGCAGTTGGAAGTAGACAATTATAGTTCTTTCTGCGCATGATTGGGTTAAGTTGAAAAACGCTTTTTAGCGACACTTCGCCTTTTTATACTTTGTATAAATAAAGCCGGATTATTATTATTATTATTATGTCGTATGAAATTTAGTACAAAAGTTGACGTATGGCCTTTATACATTAACGGTCTATGCACAGGTAGGCAGTCCCATTGACGCTTCTTCCATATGTAAAGGGTGATTCAATAAGGATGCAATATTTCAAGATTCTATTAAGCATGGTATTTCGTAATAAACAACTGAAATGTTTATTGGATTATGGTGTATACACTTTGGAATTATGTAAGAAACAACACATCAGGTTAATGGCTGCCACGGCTCCGCTGGCACTTGCGCACTCTTTTAACAAAATTTGTGGCAACATTTTTGAACACATGTCGTAGTATCTCAGCGTCTGATTTTAGCTTTCAATGCTTCGGTGGTTGCAGCCTTGTTGGCATTTGTGACTTCATATAACCCCTAAGCCAAAAGTCGAAAGGTGTTAAATCGCAAGAGCGTGGAGGCTCATTCTGCTCACCAAACAGGAAGATGACTCAACCAGGAGCAAATTTGTGCCAATGTTTCAAAAGCTGTATGGCATGTGGTATCATCCTGCTGATATCATATGTCATTAAGAGCCATGACTTCTAATAGTGGCCCAAAAAACTAAGTAATCATTGCACGATAACGTTCGTCGTTCACTGTTAGTGGATCACCCGCCTCGTCCTCAAAGAAAAACGGTCCAGTAATTCCTCCAGACCATAGTGCACACCAAACAGTAACACGTTTTAGATGCATAGCTTTCTCATGAATTACTCTTGGATTCTCTGTGCGCCAAATGCGACAGTTTTGTCAATTGACGAAGCCATCGAGATGAAAATGGGCCGTATCGCTAAAAATGATTTTGTCTACAAAATGACCATTCACATACTGTTGGCCAAGGATCCAATTGCTAAAATCTCTTCGCTATGCATGGTCTCTTTACATAAGATGTTGAGACATTTGAACTTTGCAGGCATGCAGGTGTAAATCTTTCATTAGAATACGCTGGAGAGAGGCTGTTTTAATCCCTGGACTCTCAGCTACATTTTCGCGAACTGCTCTGACATTTTCTTCTGAACCACCGCTTCGAGCTAGTCTCGTATGTTTCACGTCATTAACAGAACCAATACCAATACCAATACTAAAATTTTTGGATTATGCTTCACAGTGGATGGGTAGGAACATTATTCTGACCGAATATTAGCTTCACTTTTCGAATCGTGGCAATTAATAAACTTTCACCACTTTGGTAACTGACTGCCAAAATGGCGCCAAATTCAAATATTACGATCTTATTGATACACCCTTTATTTACTCATTTTCCATTTTGTGTTTAAGGAGCAAATAAATTTTATTATTATTAGATTGAGATATAAATTAATGCAGCAATTCATGTAACATACATTTGTTATTCTTACCTCTATTCTAAATCTTTCATTAGAATACGCTGGAGAGAGGCTGTTTTAATCCCTGGACTCTCAGCTACATTTTCGCGAACTGCTCTGACATTTTCTTCTGAACCACCGCTTCGAGCTAGTCTCGTATGTTTCACGTCATTAACAGAACCAATACTTCAAAATTTTTGGATTATGCTTTTCACAGTGGATGGGTAGGAACATTATTCCGACCGAATATTAGCTTCACTTTTCGAATCGTGGCAATTAAACTTTCACCACTTTGGTAACTGACTGCCAAAATGGCACCAAATTCAAATATTGCGATCTTATTGATACACCCTTTATTTACTCATTTTCCATTTTGTGTTTAAGGAGCAAATAAATTTTATTATTATTAGATTGAGATATAAATTAATGCAGCAATTCATGTAACATACATTTGTTATTCTTACCTCTATTCTAGGTATACCTTCTAATAGAACAAAAGGAAAAAATAGATTTATATACAGTGCTTTTCAAAAAGGTCCCTCCTACCAGTTTTTGAACAGGTCACATTAAGGCTCTCGCTGCTTCAATGTTTTCAGGTGATCCAATGGGCCGAGGGACTCTTGCTCTTCGTCGAGAGTTACTTTTGTAGTACATTTTGTCTGAACGTAGTAACCCACGTAACAATAAATTGATTCTGGTCCGGGTCAGTGGTACTAAATTAAAGCGGTTCCACCCCACCTTGTATTATTCTATTGATCTTAGAAGTTGTAGTCTATGTGAGACCCTTTAAAATAGTCAAACTACTACGTCTCTGGGAAGGGAGTTGGGGGTGAGAGCGGAAGTTCTTAATTATGCGGAGTTTGATTTGTGAGTGTTTATCTTGCTTTGGATCTCTATCGAGAATTTGTAGTGCCTTTATGAAATGCAATTCAAGGCCCATAATTGAAGAGCTGTTTGTACTATGGAATCGAAACTTTTATTCAAAATGTACCTCTCCTTGTTGTAGAGAGATTTTAAATACGATCATTACTTTATTCAAAAGGTAGAAAGTTTAAAAATCATGCAACTGTAATTATATCTCACAGTAAGACATTTTTAATACAGGGTGCAGCACAAAAAACGGATGTTTTTGAAATGGCTAGCACTCTCCGCCTATTCGGGCGAGAGTGGTGAGGAAAGTGCCATTCGACTCGAGCGTTCCTAGCATTTTTACCAGTAGACATTATGGAGTAGTAGTAATGAGTCTATAACGGCTGTACAGCTGAGTTTCGTTGTCACTTCAATATTTACCGGAATCGAGCTGTTCCTTCTCGATGCACCATCCTTCGTTGGGTTCAATCACGTGATTTAATGAGTAAGACCACCAGGAACTCCACGAACGGTTCGAACCTCTGAAAATGTGGAACGCATTCGAGAAGCCCCCCTTCGCAATCCAGCTCAATAGAGATGTAGATTTTAGCTTGTACCCGGGCTATAAGGTCAGATAGTATCGCTAAGAAAGATTTTATTTTTTAGAAATACGCAAAAGCAAAAAACAACTTGCTTAGAAGGCATTCCGTAACCCTTATCAGGTTCAGCTGTCTTAAAAAAGGGTATCAACTACGAGAACCAAGAATAAGTATACATTCTGTAACTCGTGTGTCTCTTATTCACTGACGTTTCTGTTGTCAGATTGATCTTCTCCAAAGTTCGTTAAGATCAACCAAGGGATGTACTTCTGAACTGTTAGTCAAAGAGGCAGGGTTATAGCCTCAGATTCTGCATCTGCAATGTTTTTGAAATTGCCTTGCCCAACACATTTTTCTAAATTGTCAAAGCATTCTACTCGTTCTAAATTTATCCAGCAATTTCGTCCCATTATGTGCCAGACCGACCGACAAAATTATAAAACATATGCATGCCGCTAACAGATGCTTTCAGCGTGAGGGATCTCGTTACCTGGATCGAGACGCACCTCTGTTCTTCCAGACGTGATGTCTGCACCTAATCCAGTCGCGGAAAGGATTAAGAAAATACTAAAAAAAGGATGTTGTGTCTACGAGAAAGGGTGAGGGGCCAACATAAAAAAGACACGCCGCGCTCTGTTGGGATGCGCGTTGACTGACAAATTGCAGATTTTCGGCGGGCGGCTTGCATTCGAGCCTGAAATAGTCTTAAAAAATGAGTGGATGATAGTCTGGTGAACGTATAATCAAGCACTACTCGTTAAAGAGAAGTACAGTAGAACCTCGATTATACGAATCGAGATTATCCGAAATCCGCTTTATCCAAAACAGATCGCATACAATAATTTCTCCGTTTTAACCGAAGTGAGGATATACGGGTGATGTTTTCGCCTCCTAATGGAACGTCACTGATTCAGTCAATGGGTCAACGAGTTTTAGAAAATTCAAAACGCAATTACAGTCGTTTGTTATTAGAGCAAATTTTAGATCAAGTTGATAATGGTTGTAACCTGATTATTTAATATAATCAAGCAAGAAATGGAACCTTGTGCAAACTATGAGAATAATAAGGAAAATTTATATAAGCTCGTCATAAAAATAGCAGGGTGTGAAAATCTTACCCAAGCAGATGGTGAGGGTGAGTGGATTAATGGTGAAAGAATTAACTGATACAAAACTCGAAAAAACTGTTTGTAACAATGGCGATGAGACAGTTTTAAATGGTACTAGTGACAATGAGACAGAAATCTTGCCAAAACATCACATTCTGAGGGATTAGAAGCTCTACACAAGGCGTTGACTTACGTCAAACAACAAGAAAATGCGACAGCAGCTGATGTGCTACTTATCAAACGTTGGAGGGATATTGCTACCAAAAATAGGAACAATGCAAAACGTTAATTATTTCCTTTCGTACTAAATACATGTATGTTTGTATCCACATGTTTATATTTTACTTAACTTTATATAAGTATATACTTACTCAACACACGCATTTACTTTTTTCAATAAAAGCATTAGGAGTCTAAATATTTATTTCCGTTTTGTCCGAAATTTCGATTATTCGAAAGCACTTGGGTCCACATTCTTTCGGATAATCGGGGTTCTACTGTAGTACTTAATGAACACCAACCCAGACGTACTATCAATAAACTACGTAATTTACACGCTTTTTAAACCTACGCTTATATTCCGTTTCCTGGATCTACTTCATTAATGTGAAATGTTAACAAATATCCTGATTCCGATACTTCCTTAGGAACAATGCACTGATTCTATAAATGTCCAGTTTATGATCTGAGTGATTGATCAATGTAATAAATTGCAATTATGTTAATCCTACGTTTAGTTCCGTTAAATTTTGCATTGTGTATGTAGGTATTTGTAGAGCTATGTATCAGTATATGATGTTTAATTTTACAGAGCAGGAGCTTAAGATTAATCTTCAATGAACTGTTAATGTAATTTTTAATTATTATATCCCGATGTCCTACATTGTGTTGACAGTGGATCTGATCTAAGATCGATTTTAATTTTTTCATCACATTGCTTGACATTTTTTGCGACAGGACTAGATTTATTTATTCAAAAACTACCAGGAAGTATTGCTCAGTATTATGTTTAACATTTTAAAGACTATATCTCTTACAAAAATCAATGCTCTGACGATTCTTTCCTAAAGATAGACGCCGATCCATCTCCGTTCTAATTGAGGACTTGATCTAATCCACATTCCTCTGTATCTGCGGAAACGATTATAAATCTACTATTGTGCATTTAATTTTTAGCAGTAGATGTTCCTCTACATGTGACTGGAATAATTTGTCTCTCTGTAGTCTATTTTTCGATTTTCTGACATTAAAACTTCCAAGTTCTATTAGAAATCTAAAGAATCGTAATTATTAATTTATCTACGTAGAAAGGTTTAGCATGAGTGCACAAACTGCACTGTATGTGAGGAACGAAGACTTAAAATGCATGAGTTTATATGCCTACTCATTTCAGTACCTCCTATCCGCGACAATATTCACTTAGTCAGTCACACAATCATGGTCCTAAAATATTAAAATGCTCCATCATAAAAAAATAAAAAACAGGAGGATTTAAGTTGTAAACATACTGTACACATCAATAAATTAACAAAATAGAGTGATTGTGGCTCTTTTGGTTTTTCGGCTTACAATCCTTACTTGTTCAAAGATCTTATTTTTATCAGGTCATGTGCTACAAAACTGAAAATATCAAGGGTCGGATGCAGTTTGTTTTATTTCCTTCTATTTTATTAAGTGTTCTCCGATGTGTACTCTGAATTTATTATTTCCCATAAAAAATATCTATATAATGGTAATAATTGAAAGTAAAAATTATTATTTAATTATTTCATACCGAACCTAAAATTGAGTTATAATTCCTGAAAAACGTGGCATGCATATCCGGACTTGACATTTAATTCTGTAATGTACCATCACCCGCTGAAAATGCTGAGCCCGGATGTACATTTTAGGTTTTTCTACTTTCCCATCATAATCTTGAATTGTTCTAGAGCATCAAATCCAGTGCGTTTGCATAGTAAATGCTGTTTCCCTTCAAAGCAAGACGCATGAAAACATCAGTTTTTAGAATTATATCAAAAAATCACTGAAAATACTAAATTGGGTGCATATGAACAATTTTAATGAATGCATAGCATAAAAGAGTCTAGAATTTTGAGTTCCCAGAACATATTTAGTTCAACTTCAAGAATTATTTTGATGAAGCCAAGTTAATAACCTTTGAACATTTGAGTTTTGTCACGTAGACTGCTAAAATTGTGATATCTGAGTAATTAAGAAAGTTTAAGTAACAAATCAAAAAAGGCACAATCTATCCATTCTGCTAATTGATTAGCATTATTTATTGGCTTTTTCTGTACATAGTCAAAACAGTTCCATATTCAGATAGATATATAGGTTCTTTACGTAGTAATCCTGCCGAATGCCCTGTAGATACTTCATACAGATGAAGATAACTGGGCTATTACAATAGAGCTATTCTCATTTTCATGTGAAGGTGATCGTTCGCATCCAAATTATCGACTGGCCTATGTTTCCAGAAATAACTTAAAAAATAATCTCCTTTGTTTGACGACCTGCGACTTGTCATCGTGAGTCTGTATATTTTCGTACTGATCTGTTGATTGGCTGTCTGTCAGCGATGCTGTATATAAAACACTGTTTTTTTCTCCAGTTTTTCAAATGGTCTTGACGTAAAAATATCAAGTGGATGTCAACGTGTGCATTAGGTTCACTTGCTGTTTTGAGATCTGATAGAGTGCTCTTGAGGTCTCCAGTATTTTTACAAAACCTGTCATTTGATTCACAGTGGGGCATCTCAAGACAAAATCAGGTCTTTACGAATTATGGTCTTTTATATTTTTATCCTCTCTCTTATGTTTTTCTTTACCTTAAGGAATAAAAGCTTGGAAAAATAATCAATATTGTATTATAAATGTTGAGCCTCTCAGAAAACAGTGAATATTGCTTGTATACTCAGATTACACAATGTCTGGTAGATACACGATTTAGTTCAATATATGGAACAAGAAAAATAATAAACAGCAAATATTCCAAAATCGTAAATGGAATCAGAAACTGAGCACTAAAGCATTTTGTATTAAGCTACGGACAAAAAATCAAAAACGTTTCAAGTCATTCCCAAACTCAACTTTGTTTTTAAACGGATGTTGTATAGTATTGAGCGAAAAAATAAACATTCAAAATTCTCATGATCATAATCGTATCTTCGTTTAAGCAATAGTAGACTAGCCCCCGTGCCGGTGTACAACTTGGGCAACGTGCTTTTATCACGGCTAAATAGTCTATAGAACTGGCTCCTGGACCTCTTTCTTTAAGGATATCTCATCTTACGGATTCAGCATGAACTGATAATCAAAGAGTCAGGAAGCTTCTCAATTCGTACGGAGACGGAACATTGGAAATATAAGAATTTTGTAGCTCATCATAAAAGGATGAAGACTAAAGAGAATCTACTGTGCTGAAAAAAATGAGCTTAATAATTAGTGTACGCTTCCTTCAAACAGAGCATTACGCGATAATCAGTTTTAAAGGCAGTACGGTAAAACCTATGATGCGTAAAATATGGCTATATGTTCGTAGAATTACCGGGGTTGGTAGCGTATAAATATACTAACATCAACAAATTTAGATCCCTCCCCCACCCTCCTACACTCCCACCCCTAATCTTTTACCCCTATTTTTTGTATATAATCAGGATCCTCTAAAACGCCAAAGAACCAGTTTTGAGCGTTTTTTTTTTATCGTTTGTAGCCTTTTTCTGGAATGAGATTCCAACAGTGAGGTCACTCTGGTTATTTAGAACATGAATTTCATCTTGCGTTTTTTTTAAACCTATCGCCTATAAGCTGTATCATAAAAGCAATACGCATAAATAATGAATTAGTAAATATATTTTTGGGCATATTCAAACAAATTTTTTGTTGCTTTATCAAATTACTAACACTCTCAGTATTGTTACATTCCCAAGAGCA